GCAGAAATCGGGTTACGCCCTCACGACTTAGGTCAGACTCAGAGTCGGATCAGTAGCGTGGCGTGCTTTGCGATAAATTGCTTAATCTGCCATTTGAACCTATGGAAAAAGATCGATAAACAAGGTGTTCACAGCGAACACCTTAATATTCGATTATTTACCATAGCTCAAATGGGGAAATATCGATAGATCGCAAAGCACGCCGCGCCACTGAGTCGGATCAATCTCGGATGTTCTTCAAGAAAAAAAATCGAATGGTTCACAGCATTGTGCAGCAAGGATGGCACCGTTTGACTTTTTCTACAGAAAGCTCGCTGAAAGGTCTTTATTTTGTAACGATTTGCGCTCGAAAATGATAACGTTTGCTGAAGTTCCTGGATGAGTTCCAGCAGCGCCGTATTTCTCTCTGCATTGGGAAAGGTATTTCTTGATTTTTAGAAGTCAATTTCCTTTTACGAAAGGAGGAAAAGGGGGAACAACATCTTTACATCGAGGATCTGGTGAGAGGGTGAGACCATTATAGACACCTCTCCATGCTCCAGCACGATTTCGTGCTTGAGCGGGCTTTTAAAGACACTTGAGGGATGTGGCGTACCGACTACATTACTTCCTTTAACGAGCTTCGGTTCAAACCACTCAGAATTTATTCCTCGCAAACTATTTCCCTTGTATATCCCTCATGAATTATAGACAAAATGCCTGAACTCGGAAATCAATTTAAACTCGGAACGGTGGACCCCAGAATACAGAAAAAAATCGAGAGCAGAAGCGGGAATAAAACATTTTCATTGCCAGTAGGTTGCGTACCGAGAACTGAACTCAAAAATCAATTAAACTGTCAAAAGAACTTGCGGGCCGATTATTGAAATTGATAGACACAGCCATAGAAAAAGAAGACAAAACGGAACGGATATGAAGGGATCCTATTGGTTGAAATGAGTAGTTCCGGTTCCCATAGACTAAGGAAGAAAATTATGGACTATCCATAGGGTCCCTCGTGGGTTAGTGTTAGTTAGTCTATTACCTATACCCCCTTTGTCCATTGCAACCACCCGCTTCCACCAATAGGATCCCTTCATATCGACGGCGAAAGTGCAGAAGTGCGTAGCTCGGAAAACACGATTTTCCAGGAGAGTAAAAAAACTGTCTGTAAAAAACAGGGTGTTCGCAGCGAACACCTTAATAATCGATTCTTTACCATAGGTATGTTTAAATGGCACAACCATCGATATCGCAAAGCACGCCGCGCCACTGGTGTTTGCAGCGGACACCTTAATAATCGATTCTTTACTATAACTTCAAATAGGGGAATATCGATAATGGATCATTAAGATTCAGATTTTAATCGTGTACCCGGCCTGCATACGGGAAGGCGCGAGGACATGGATTTTTGGAGGGAAATATATGAGTACTGAAATGGACACCATTAAAATTCTACGCGTACGGCTATACGACATGGGACTGAGTGGAGCTGCTGCATATCTGGTTGCACAAAAGCTAAGTCAGTGATGCAGCGCGGCGCGGCGCCCGGTGCATCGAGCGAGCGCAGCCAGCGATCAATTGTCGCAGTATCGTGGATTCGTGGCTATTTCGCTTTGGGCATGCATCGACCTTGGCTCCCAAGAAACTTCCGTGCCACCACCATTCGGCAACCTAGGGCTCAGGAAGCTCTCCCGGCTTTCTTCTGCGATTCAAAACGTAGATCATGCCGAGGACTACAAGACGGGGGTAAAAATTAAAATTCAATAAAACGTATTTTCTTACCAGCATATCACGAAGAAAAAGTGGAACGCATAGAAAACAGTGTCTTGAACTCATCTTTGCGTTTCAGGAGCCATGTGGCGCATCAAGATTGATTTAAAGGGGCCAAATTGGACGCATTTCTATCAAACGGACCTAAGCGCCATAGGGTGAGGAAGGTAGAGGGGGGCTTGGATTGGCGAATCGGGCGTCCGGCTTATTCCGTCCTATACTCGCAATGCTTTTCCATGGCGCTTAGACGGACCGTCTGACAGAACGCGCTATCCAGGATACTAAATTCCTCAAAAGGAACCCAAATTGGCGCTTAGTTCCGTTTGATAGAAATACGTCAAATTGATTTTTCGCCTATATTACGGCGCATTTAGTGAAAACTTGGACGCAAGATGTCTTTGTTACAGAACTAGTAGTTGTAACTTGGGGGAGATTTCGAAAAAACACCAAACGCAAAAATTAGGATTTTTTTGAGGGGGGGGGGGAAGAAAGCAATTTTTAGGGGCCGTGTTGGCGCAGAGCCTTCATTTTTAGGCGCCATGGCCGATCTCTAGGACGCATTTGGCGCGTTGGCGCCTGTGAGTTTCGAACACTGATCGACTTCTAGAATCAGTATATCTGGGGGCCGAATCTTCTACCTATAGTTAAATGGACCGCGTTATGAGCAGCCAAGGATCAGCTATTGCCGAATTTAATCGTACAATTTAATTTTTACAGGAAAACGGCTGTGCGGATTTGTGTGCTTTCAATGAATTTTCTGCATAGCACGAAGCAAATTCCATGAAAATTTTAAAGAAATCCGCACCAACGTGTAAAAAGTTAAATTGCTCGATTAAATATGGCAATAACTAATGTGGCTCGGTTCCTTTCTACTAAACGCGGTCCAAGAACTTCCAGTTCCAGCTAAACTCCTGAAGCTTTTTCTGATAACTTATTCAGAGCTTGTTTGATTGAACACATTACATGATCCGGATGACATTTTGGCAATATAACAGAATTTTACCTTTCATCTAGTACCTATAACACAAGGTGAATGACTGTTGGTGGTGACCGTTGTTTCTTGCTGATCAATAAGCCTGTGATTGAACCATCGAGACGCGATTTAAATGAACTGACCTGACCCATTGTTACTTTGATCAATTCAAATGCCAGACGGAAATTCGATCTCTCTTGAGCAAACCTAGATACTGGGTCAGACCCTGATAGATTTCTCTTGAAAAAAAGATGAAGCCAATCTCATTGCCTGAAATTTCCTGACTGAAGCAACACAGCAATCATGCTACGATGAACAAAAAAATCAAACTGCTGAAGGCCAGGTCCACTAAGTGTGATTCTTCATCACAAAATTGAATATTTGTGAACACAGATAGTTTGTCTCACGCATGAAGGGTTGCGCACATCGGACGCTGCGGGTGGTCAAGCGTTTTGCGAACTGGCATCTAAATTTTCCATCGATTTGGATAAACTTCCATAAAAAACAGGGGAAAATGCCGCAGTTTAATTCTTGTTGTCATATGAGATTTTTATAATACTTTATTTTTTCCTCCCTTACATGTTAAGTGACACGTGCCTTCGGAGTTGGAAGGTCACGCAGGATCGATTTCATTGATCAAATAAGAGAAACAAACAGCATTGGCGTAAGACTTGACCAGCCACCAAGATAGCATGTCACCGATTTTATAGAACGACCAATGACCTTGGCCGATTGTAAGATGAATCAAGCTTGACCAGAGCGAAACAGAATCAGCTGAGCATTGTTACTTCGTTACATTCTTCCTGATGAACATACTTCATACACATACCAAAGTATAGGACTGATGAACAACCGATGATTTCCGCGAAAACTATCTTATTCGCTCCTTGGACAGCTCCTTTCCTCAGAAAATCAGTTTCGGGTGACATTTGGACTGCATTTAGCTATTAGGAATTACAATTTCTTGCTCAGTTGAGAAAGAACGTATGCATCATTATTTACTCTGTACACATGCGTGTTTTTACCGATGAGCCAGAAATTGTACTCTCTCTCTGCGTGCTTTGCGATAAATCGATTGATCTGTCATTTTAACCTGGGGGAAAAGATCGATAAACAGGGTGTTCGCAACGAACACCTTAATAATCGATTTTTTACCGTAGGTTCAAATGGGAAAAATCGATGATCGATTTTTCATGCCTCGCCACTGGTCTTTGTCAACCGCGAGTACTATTCAGCAGCATAAATTTTGAAATGGATCCTTGCAAGGGATTACAATGAATTGCCTCTGAAAAAAGCACAAAATACGGGAGAGAATATTCTAAGATTTTGAAAAACCTTAAGGTACGTTCACAAGTACCTTAAATTCACAAAGTTCGCAAAATAATTTCTTTCGTATTTTGTACTTTTTGCGAAGGTCAACTATTGCAAGGATCCATTTCAAAGTTAAACTCTTAAATTGAACCGATTATTTTCCAAATCACGTAAGCGCCAAAATATTGCAAAAGCGAGAAAAACATGAAAACCTATATTATTCACTTTATTGACAATCTTCGAATTCCAAAAAATGTATGTATTTTGAAATCAGACATGAATGATTATAACAGGAAACAAAGAAAAAACAACCCCTCCGCCACCAATATAGACATTGGCACTTCCGTAATTTGGAAAATAATCGGTTCAATTGCACTCGATGTCGGCAAAGACTGCCTTTTTTATGTTGCCATTGTGAGGACTACCTTAAACCTCTACTAATGAAGATGTGTACCAAACGGGGAAGGAGCCTCCTTACAGGAGAGGAGCCGATTAAGGAGCGACTAAGAATACGGCCTGCAGCGGGCTGATTCTTGAAATTGATAGACAAAGCTATAGACAAAAAAGACAAAATAGGTATTGAGGGATCCTACAATTGGTGAAAGCGGATGGTTACAATAGACAAAGGAGGTAGGTAATAGAATAACTAACGGCAACCCACGAGGGACCCGATAGTTAGTTCATCCTTTTCTCCCTTAGTCTACCAACAGGAACCACCCATTTTAACCAATAGGATCGCTCCATACTACCTATGTCTTCTTTGTCTATCGCTTTGTCGATCAATTTCAATAGTCAGCCCGCAAGTCGATTGTTGAATCGTTATCGAATGGCCTTGATCGGTAAATAGCATTGTGAAGATATGGAGTTATCGATGGATGTCATTCGATTAGGATTCAAGACTCGAGCGGCTGAAGACTTGAATGTATTACTTTGGAAAAATGAATATAGAAGAATGGGTGCCTACCTTTGGTAATTTTCTGGAGGATAACCTGCTTGTCTTCCTCGGAGCGGGGTTCACCAATCACGACGAAGAGGTAGGCTCCGGACAAGGGCGAAGGGGGTCCGACGGGGGGGTTGGAGGGTAGCTCCTGAGGGTCCTTCCTGGCCGGCCCTTGAGCGGAGGAGCCCCCCGCGGCAGGAGCCTCCATGGACCTCGCTTCTGGCCGATTTTAACGATGATCTGCCACAAAACACGCAAAACAAAAACCATTAGTCCAAGTCCAGAGGGTAAAGTGGACTACATTTCCCAATTAGGAACTACAATTGGACGTATTTCTGTCAAACGGAACTAAGCGCCATAGAGGGAGGAAGGTAGAGGGGGGGCTTGGCTTGGCGGCGGAATCGGGCGTCCGGCTTATTTCGTCCTATACTCGCAATGCTTTTCCATGGCGCTTAGGTCCATTTGACAGAACGCGCTATCCAGGATTCTAAATTCCTCAAAATTAAGGAACTCAAATTGGCGCTTAGTTCCGTTTAATAGAAATACGTCCAATTTCTGTGCAAGTGACAGTTGACGAGGAGGGTATCATCAAACTCAAAAACGGAGCATGATGACAACAATTGCTGCCACCGTACTCGAGCATACTGCCGTGCTGAGGAAGAACGCCGTATGAATCTCCAGGCGTTGCAAAATTTCCTTTTATAATACACGAATTTCCTGGTAAACTTCTGAATATCTTTCTTCCATTTTGTCGGATAATGTCGCTTTCAATTTCACCTAAAGTTCCTGAAAATTTAATATTCATAACTGTCCTCAAAAATGGACATTTTAGGAGATTTGGCAACTCTCGAATGTTCATACGGCGTTTTTCCTTAGCACGGCAGAACTTGGAACTACATAAGACGGGAAACGGGGAAACGCGACGATTGAGGCGCTGCCGCTTAGTAGCGTACGTGCAATGCGTGAAGTATTCATGCAGCCTTGCAGGCACTGTAACAGCGCGCACCGTGGAGTGCCTGTATGCGCTATGTGTGAAGTATTCATGCAGTTTTGCAGGCGCTAACCTGCGTTTTGCACCGTTCATACGCCGTTCTTCCTTAGCACGGCAGCATAGGGACCGTCCCTAAACTACGTAACGCACTTTTCCGGTATTTATGAACGCTTTGCCAAAAGTCGCGCAATGAGCTATGTATTCGCATTGCCAGAAACTATCCTTCAGAAAATGTAATAAATGATGTCATCCACTGTGGTATAGTGAAAACCATGGCGTCCTTCATCTTCAAGTTTTCCAAAGATCCACGCCGCGTTTTCAGTTTTGGAGTCCCTAATTGAAGTGGCAGCCCTGTCAATGTATTTGCTCCCTATCTTTGCACGGAAAGTTCGTCTTGATGTAGAGGTGGACTCTCAGGATAGCGTGGGATATCCCCTCCATTTTGGCCTCAACCTGAGAGCTTTTTTGAGTTTGGGAGTTGATTTCAGGGAAATCCAGTGGCACCATTGTGTTTACCCCAAACTTTTACATAAGAGTCAATAGGTAATCAAATCGCAAATTCCTCACACATGCAACATCTCCGTTTCGCGTTACGTGGACAACTGACCCGTTGAAAAATAGATGAATGCACTCGTACTAGAACTATTTATGGGGTAGACGACGCAGCGTTTGCGATAAATCGTTGCTCCTCTAACGTGAGGGCGTAATTCTAATCTCCACCTGAGCCACGGGAAGCACTAAGTTATACGGAGAACAGGGCTCATCTGGGAATCGAGTTAGGTCCTTATAAAAAAAGAGGCGACAAAATCAGCAAGTATGTCCCTGTTACTTCCTCTTCGTGATAAATACCTCCCATTTGTCGTCATGGCATGTACATGGAGGAGGCAGTATACCTATCCACCAAGTCGTAACTTCCTCCCTCTTTGACTCACCACCCTCAATACCTTGCTGTCCCTCCCCAGGTGAATGTGAAACCCGACGAATTGTTAACATGACGTCATAGAGTACAATGAGTACATCCCTGGTATTTGAATTTTACGCCAATCGTCCTACGGTTCATTTTGTCGTTAATGATTGAGTTTACCGTTATTGCACTATCACGGTTCGGTGGTATTCAATAGGTAATGAAGAACAATATGATGCTCTGGCCACAAGTTTCCATGGCATGATCGAGTTAGCTCAGTGTATCCTTACATTAAGTGAGAATTGGGCAAGGATAGCCAACAAGTACACAAAATTCGTCTTCCTCGTGAAAGAACGTAAATACGTTTAAACGTTAAACGCGCTGCCAATAGAAGCGCTCCATTTCCCCTTCTTCTTTGTCTATTAATTCCAAAAATCAACGAGCAGGGATGGCAACCCTTTGCGTTCCATCTCCGTCCTCATTATCGCAAACGTGTTAAATGTTTGCTGAATATACGGAATACTTCCGCGGGATGCTTCTATGTCTATCGCTAAGTATGTCATTAATTCCAATAATTAACCGGCAGAGGCAGGGGTGGCAACCCTCTGTGCTCCATCTCCGTCCCTGCTGTCATCGTTAAATGTTTGCTAACTGCGCTGCCGTGATGAGGAAGAACGCCGTATGGGCCTTCAGGCGTTTTCAAAGTTCCTGGTAAACTTATGTATATTTTTCTGAAAATTTTGTCCGCAATTTCACCCGGAGTTCCCGGAGATTTCGAAGACAAATATTCGTAACTTTCCTCAAAAATAAACATTTCATCGGAGGAAATTCGGCAACTCTGGAATGTTCTTACGGCGTTTCCCTTAGCACGGCAGAACACGGAATACTTTTGGAGGATGCTTCTACGTCTATCCCTATGTCTATTAATTCCAATAATTAGCCGGGAGAGGTGGCAACCCTTCGTGTTCCATCTCCGTCCCTGTCATCGCGAACGCGTTAAATGTCTGCTGAACAGGGCCGTATTAAAGGGTAGGCCACATGGGCCGCGGCCCATGGCGGCAAATCTAAGGGGCGGCAAAAATTTGCAATTTTTTAAAGTGTAGGTATATAAAAAAATCTGATTTATAAAAACAAGATTACAAACGAGAAAAGGCGACAAAATCTCTCATTTCCTGAGAGTATAGTAATTTCTAATTTTGTCGTCTCTTAGTGATACAAGAGACAGCACCTTCAATAAGTCGAGTTAAGAGCGAGACCAAACACGCAATTTGGCCTGGGACGGCGCGACTTAGAGAGAAATGATAACGAGGACTGAGATGAAAAGGAGAAGCCCTCGGCGCGGCGATCGGCATGTAACACATATTAGCGCCTACAAGACTGCGCGAATACTTCACGCATTGCATCAAACACAGTGCGGTCATTGCGGTCAGCGTGAAACGGATAGCGCCTACAAGAATGCATGAATACTTCACACATTGCGCCAAACACAGTGCGGTCAGCGTGAAACGCATAGCGCCTACAAGACTGCGTGAATACTTCACGCATTGCGTCCAACACGGTGCGGTCTGCGCGGCGCGGCGGCGGAAGTTAAAATCATTGAACCACCTTTATGTTTGTTCTTTCATAATTTTTTCGTTCATTTCTTATGCATGGAAGCGTAGGCCTTGTCCACACAGAGATAGGTTCACGGAACTTAACTTTCGCGCAAAGTTTCGTGAACTTTTCTAGTAGTGTTGATAGGGCTTTCCCAAAAAATGTGTTCAACACGAGTAAATGCGTCTCATGCACCCTTCCCCCGCTGGCACGTTCATTTGATGGTTTTTACCGAGTTTCAAAACGAATGAGAAGGGGGCGGCAAAATATAGGCGGCCCATGGGCGGCAAGTAGGTGAATCTGGCCCTATGCTGAATACACGGAATGCTTTCGGGAAATGCTCCTACGTCTATCGCTATGTCTATCAATTCCAATAATCAGACGGGAGAGGTGGCAACCCTCCGTGTTCCATCTCCGTCCCTGTCAGGGCGAACACGTTAAATGTTTGCTAAACACACTTGCACGTCGGGGATGCTCCGGCCAGCTCGGACACACGTCAACGAGCAGACAAACAGACGAGGGCGTGGGCGTTGTTCGGGGGTTGGGAACGGGCGCCTGGGGGTGGGGGTCGGGGTGGGGGGCAGGGAGCCCGACTCGTCGGGTCTGCGTCCCGGTTTCCCTGGCTGCATCGCGTCGCAGCGAGTCGTGCCCAGCCGCGGCCGCGCCGGTTGCCAGGAGAACCCGGGAAAATCGATAGCGGGAACCAAGACACCGACTCAGCTGACGCGGCGACCCGGCCCGACGCGACGCCATGCGGAGCGGCGAAACGCCGCCACCGCCGCGCCGACGACCGGACCTGCACCCCCGTCGACCCCCCCTCCCCTCTCCTCCGGGAGCCGAGGCCCCCGTTCTGCGGGGCTCCTGCGTTTACCTGGATTAAGTGATATGAGGGATCAGGCTGTTAGAATCTCCCCGGTGCCCTACTTAAAATCTCGAGCTTTGGGGAACCTCCGCTAGGCTCCATTGTGCCCATGCCCAGAGCAGAGAACAATGGGTCGGTTGTGCTGGTCAGAGAATCGTGTGTGTTGTTGATTCTTGTAGACTGGCTAAAAATATTAAGATCCGTCCAAACAGCAACTTTCTACGTTCAACATTAACCGAGATATCGCGCTTTGCTGCACTGGAAAAAAAAACACATTGGATCTAGAGTCCGGACTCTTAAAAACATCGACAAGAAAAAATACTCTTGATTCAATCGGATTTTAGCTTAAATCAAGAACCAGACCTCTTAATTTGAGCGGATTTCCTTTTGATTTAAGCAAAAGTCTGTTTGAATCAAGAGTATTTTTTCTTGTCAATGTTTTCAAGAGTCTGGACTCTAGATCCAATCTGTTTTCTTTTTTTTTCAGTGTGAACAATAGAGAATTTGCAGGTGTCTAAAAATTTGATAAATTTCGTGTTTAAGTGAAAACTACTGGATGAATTGAACACGAGGAAACCCTTGGTTCATGAATTGAACAATTGTTGGAGGAGATATGACAAAATTATCTATCTTGCTAAAATACGTGTATTTCAATGGAAAATACCGCCAGATGATGTCACTAGGCTGTGCATTTTATCACTTTTAAATCTATTTTTATACTATTTCCTATATCGGATAAAAATTATGAAAAATACTGTGAAATCGACTCATTAAGCACTTTCAGATGAATCGATAAAAAATTTTCATGCAAATTCTCCATCCGGTTTATGGCGTCATCCACCGGGTAGTGATACCCTTGGTTTCTTCCACGCATTTTTCGTGTTGAGTGA